CTCTAACATGTATGGTACATAAATTATTTTTATCGGTCTCCCATAGTATGATCCTCCTAATAGATTGTGCTACGATTGCTTAACATAGCGCTAAATTCGTCCCGAAATCGGATCATTAACTCTAACATCAATACTAACATTATTATTGTGCTAACTTTACTTTATGTCATTTAATTTTATTGTCATTTAATTTCTTTCTCTTTACTTTCATGTTTTTACTTTTAGCATTACATTTGATTTTGTTTATGTTTATACTTCTTTTTTCTTTGTCCACTTGAAATTTTTTTTTTGAAAGACATTAATAAAGGAAAAACTCCTAAAAAACTTGGTTCTCTAATATTTGGACTAATGGTCACTATCCTTTGCTTGACTTGGTGTTGGACTTTTGGGCTTATGGACCTTGGTTACTTTTATCTATGCTATTTGATTCATCTGATACTTGAGACTTTTGGTCAACCTTTGAAAAATTGGCTCTGGTACATAGCTTCGACCTTATGACTTGGATTCTTCTTTCAACTGATGCTTGTCTTACCCTGTGCTTGATTGTTGCTTATGGCTTACTCCAAAGGAATACGATTTTGGTTTTGACTCATGTCAAGTGCTGGCTAGATCCTGGTTAGTTCACAATGCACACACAAAGGCTTCCTCTTGGGCTACCTTACAAGGAGACCTTTTATTTCTTGCTCTTTACTTTATGCATTACCATAGTCTCTTCACCTCCTCCCCTTCTTAAAATTTCAAAACCTTCTTGTTTTCAAACTTGAATTACTTTCTCAATAAATCTTAACTTTGTCAAGTGATTTTCAAAATCCTTTTTAAAAATAAATATTAAGACATCTTAAGCATATCAAAACAATTTCAAAAGACTTAAGATACTCAAAACTCATTCAAATTTTTTGTGCATTTGTACACCTTTTCCTTCTAAAACATTTTTTTAAGAATAATCATAAGTTTGTTTTTGTAGTGATGTAACTCCTATACTTATACAATAATGTAGAGAAGTGATGACATTTTCCACTTAGATGTTGAGTGACAGACTTTTTGATTTCAACCCAAGCAAAAATCCTCCATCTTAATGTGATGTAAATGCTCCTTCCTCATTAATTGTGGATAGCAAGTTGAGTTTCCAATCGAGTATGACAAAATTTCTATTCATTTAAAATCAATCAAAACAAACACTTTTGATATTTTTACCACAAACTTCGAGGTTTTGATCCTCTGTTCACTTTGTTGGTACATAGGCACGAGACTCAGGAAGTCTTGTCAAATAAAAAACCATAAAAAAAATCTCATCTCTTCAATCTTTTGCAAACAACCCGGTTTTAAGCTAAACACATTTCTAAAAGATTCCTATAAAATACTATAGATATTTTGGGTGCTAACATTCTCCTTTTGTTAACTTCTACACTCATACTTTATGTATTTCCATTATTGAAATGAGAATCATCACCATAAAAAAATGTGTACATGATTAAAAGAAAAGAGCCACTAAGAAAAAAAATGGGTTAGTAAACCGGAAGAAATAATAGAGAGGAACATCATAGATAGACTTTTTTACAAATTCTTTGAAGTTTGAAACTATACAAAAGAGACTTGGCTTGAAACGCAACTAGGTCCGTCGAAGCTCCGGCAAAGGCAACAGGAAACCATGACCGAGGGAGGAGAGGAAATTGTGGCCAGAAGAGCCAAGGTAAAGGCGGCCAAAACTGCAGGTTGACGAAAAAAGGTGTAATGAAGGGCATTGTGGAACAAATTTTGGATCTACCCAATTTTGTGGGGCATCGAATTGTCTCCCATAACCGAAGTCGGTGCCCTGTTATTATATATGAAAACAAAATAAATAACAAAGGCATATTAAGAAATAGCAATAAATTAGATATGATCTCTAAAACTTAACATTTTAAAGATTAGGGCAATGATTGAGCATTTGAAATAACAAATCCCAATTAGAGTTGATAGAGTAAAGTTTCAGATTTGTCAAATTATGAAAAGTAGGAATCTCATCAAAATTTCTATACACCTAAATAAGAAATCCACTTTAAAAGATATAAATAAACCTTCAGAAATAAGGTCAAAATTTTAAATAAAGAAAGTTAAAACCAAAATACAAATCAATCACATTTTTCTCTTTATTCTATCAGTGTACTCAATTGGACATCCGGACAGAAACAACACTAAATCTCGAGCATCTGACAATATACACATTTTCAAGCAAAAGGATTTTGAGGGTGGGAGTCTAACATAAGAAAAACCCGCCACAGTGAAATGTTGAAGTTTGAGAACAACAAGAGTCTTGCAACTAAGAATGCTAATAGGTAAATTGGGACAAGATGATTGATACATACAAGTACACTAGGAAAGCTGAGATTTCCAAGATCAGGATTGCCATAATGAATCTTGAGGCTGAAACTCTCGATGCAATTAGAGCCTCAGTAGAGTGAAACAGAATACACAACATAATTAAAGCGAATAAGCACTTCTTCGTCACCCATTTCAATCGACTCTTCGCCCTTGAAGTTGATAACAGGAACAGAGCAACTTTAACGCATAGTTGTTAAACCAAAATTTTGTATAACTTACGTTAGTAATAAAGAATTTGCATTATAGTAGAGCTGAAATGACATCTAATGAACTAAAGTTTAGTTTCCATTATCTATATAGTTAACGTTAACTATTCAATGGTAAACATATTATAATATTATTTAATACTAATAAAATATTCCAATGGAAAACATGTTTATATGTTTTTTTTCTAAATAACACAAATTTAACGTGTTTGATTTTTTTAAAGTAACTTTTGATTTTAAATCACTTTTACATGAATGTATCCAAACATAAACACATTTTACTAAACTTAAATCTATTAAAATCAATCGAACTAAACTCAATTTTATCAAAATCAATTATGTACACGCCAATTCAAACATAAAATAAATCAACCATGACCAAACAAACTAATACTAACATGAATTTTTAAAACTTTGGTTTAAAAACATAAAACTTTGGTTTAAAAACATAAAACGTTAAACGACATGCATATACTTGAAAATACCTTAACTTATAACTTAAAGAATCTTTAAATGAAAGTGAACTTTAAAAGTGAAAAAATACGCAAATAAACATAAAATTTTCAACTTCAAGATTTGGGGGTGGTTTTATATAAACAAAAATAAAGTTCTATATGACATTTGATTTATAGCTGTGGAAGATGAGACATTTGGTTCAATATATCTACCACTAAATTGAGTCTTTTATTTTGTTTTCACAATTATAGGATTTATTGAAGAAAAATCATGAGATTTAGAGTTAAATCATGAGGTTTCTATGATACTCTACGTTGTGTGTATTAAAGAGAAAACATGAGGGTTAAAGTTAAATCACAAGGGTCATATGATACTCTTCATGAGTTGTGTGTATGGTGGAGAAATCATGAGACTTATACTTAAATCATGTATTGAAGAGAAAACATGAGGATTAAAGTTAAATCATGAGGATCATATGGTACTCTTTATTGTCATGTATTATTTTATATTCTTATAAAAATGTAATTTTTTTTTATGTATTATTGTTGTGAATTTTGTATCATTTTTAATTTTATAATAAAATATATTTAATATTATTTCTAAGTTTTTAAGGTAAATTTTACTAAAAAAATTGTATGCATTTTAATTAAAATATTTAAATTAATGGTAACTTGAATAAAAAATATAAAATGTGAGGTCAAGTTTTGGTTTCTTATAAACAAGTATCATTAAAGTAAAAACTACTCAAGTCAATTATAAATTTTTTAAATCCTATAAAACACTTTGGGCCCACAAAAAATATCTTAATTTACCCATTTAGTTTACTCCCATTAAAGATGCTCTTACTATGTCCCAATGTCTGCTTTTCATATAATATATATATATATATATATATATATATATATATATATATATATATATATATATATATATATATATATATATATATATATATATATATATATATGCGTAAAATATAAATCATATTATTATTTTTATTTAATTATTTATTATTTAGAAAATAATAGTAATATATAATAATATAAAAATTAATAAAGTGTTACGTAACTATCATTTACTAAAAAAAAAATTAAAAATTAAAATAAAAACTGAAAATGATATATTTGAAAGAAAAAAAATACGGGGTAAAATTATGTTATATATATATATATATATATATATATATATATATATATATATATATATATATATATATATATATATATATATATATATATATATATATATATATATATATATATATATATATATATATATATATATATATATATATATATATATATATATATATATATATATATATATATATATATATATATATATATATATATATATATATATATATATATATATATATATATATATATATATATATATATATATATATATATATATATATATATATATATATATATATATATATATATATATATATATATAAAGTTTGTGTATAGCGGAAGCAAGATCGGAATAGTTTGTATATAAAAGGAGTATAGAAGATGGTAGAGCCATAAGAAAGTTTTAACAAGAAACTTCAAATTTGTTATTCAAAGGTGTGTTTACAAAAGAAACTAAAATCCCTTTATATAGGAAAGAAAATGCTTACTATTTAAGCCGATAACCGCTACTTACATTAGCCAGTAAACTAAAACACAACTTGTATAATTATTGTCGGGTACTCTTTGGGCCCCATCGACACAACAATTAACAAGAAACCAAAAAACTTTAACAAAAGAAATAAAATGCATGCCTAGAAATTCTAAAGATAAGATAAGATTTTTATTCCCTTGTCTTTTACAAAAGAAAGAAAATGCATGCAATTATGTCTAAAAATTTTTAAGACAAGATAAGATTCCCTTGTCTTTTGCTTTTGTAAAAATTCCTCTTTTCTTATTTCTTGTCCTCTAGCCTTTGTCCATTGATTGGTATTCCAATATTTCTAGACAAGATAATAATTTAATTCTTTATTTTTCCTTTTACTTTCATAGATTGAATCATTGCATACCATGAATCTTCTGCAGTGGCTTCATCTACTTGACCTTCTCCTTCCAAACCCATTGATCCCATTGAAGAGCTTGTCTTCATAGATGAACCCTCATCTTTTGATGTTTTTGTTGGAAACGTAGAGAAGAATTGGTTCTTCATATGATCCAAAATTCCAACCATGATTTCATCTTTTGATTCATTGGGATATTTTCTCTGGAAGAAGTTCTTCAAGTTTTCCACATACATTTGTTGGGAGCTTTGTTCATTAACCTTATTATTCTGGTCTTCAGCTATAGTTTTTGAATTAAATTTACTTTGTTCTGGACATCTTCTGAACTCATCTTGTTCCACCATTTATAGAAGAAATTTCTTTCTAAAATGGGAATATTGAATTTGTTTTTTGATATGGTGATTGACCATCTCCATATCCAAGGAATCTGAAATTTAGTAAAGAACAAGAATGGACATTGTCCAGTAATTAAATTATCAGATAAATTTTTTAAATAAGTGGACTATTATCACACCATGGATTGTATAAGTTAAGAATTTCTTTAGGAAGAATCTCCAAAGGTGGACCAAATTTAGCCCACCATTCATAAAACCAATTTGGTATGAGTTTATTAACCATCTCTTGATTAATAGAGAAAAACCAAGAATGTTTGTTCTTGGGATTTTGGTAATAAAATACTTGAGTGAAAGCTTGGACATAGTCCCAATAATTAAAGTAAATATACTTTCCTTCTGCAATTCTTATTGCCTTTTCAGCATTTGGGTTGAGACCCCATTCTCTTGGTAACAAAATTTTGTTAATGTGAAATTTACTGAAGTTTATAAAACTTTCAGGATTATTATTTTGGTAATGGTGAGTAATTGTCACCGGTAACAGTCAGGAGAATCTCTAGGTTGGGCCTAGATTTTCCATGAAGACTTGGATATCCTCTTGATTCGAGGTATCTAGTTTTGATAGACCAACCATCATTTGGATTTATCTTCATATCTTCATCATCAATATACCTGATTTTCTCAGTTACTGAATTTTCAAAATAATTCATTTGTTCTTGAGGTGGGTTATTAACCGCAACTTCCTTGTATGGTGTAGTTTTATTAGAGGAAGAGAAAGCAATATCTTCCTTTTTTCTGAAGATGCAGGTGATTGCTGCATTTTTCTACCTTTGTAGATAGTAGTCAAATCCCCTATTAGAGGAATGTTTGATTTTGGCTGGGGTAACATATTGTTACTCCCTCTCCCACCCCGGCCATAACCGCGGCCTCTACCCCTATATGGGATCATCATTTTTTCCCTGCAAAAATTCACGAGTTAAATAATCAGCAAGTGAATTATTTTCACCTTTAATGTGTTGAATATCAAATTCAAACATAGATAATTGCGATTGTCAACTAGCAAAAATTTGCTTAGCAACAAGATTTTTAACATCTTTTTCAATAAATGGTTTAGCTGAGCTACAATCAATTTTTAATAAAAAAAATTTATTAAAAAGATCATCTTGAAATTTTGAAATGCATTTTATAATAGAAAGCATCTCTTTCTTGATAGTTGAATATTTTGCTTGTGTTGGATTCCATTTTCCAGAAGTAAATCTAACCAAAAACTTCTTTTGATGTTTCAGGTATTATTTGTTTAAGGATTCCTCCATAGCCTAAGTCTGAAGCATCAGTTTCAACAATTTTGAAATATTTAGGATTAGCAAGAGATAAATAAGGCAAACATTTCACTTTATTTTTAATTCTTTGGACTGCCTGAGAATGTTTTTCAGTCCAAGGGTCAGGATTCTTTTTAAGCCTAGCATGTAATATTGTCATATCTTTAGCAAGACTTTCAGAATAATCTGCTATGTAATTGAGGCTACCCATAAACCTTTGTAATTGTTTCTTATCTGTAATAATATCAGGGAATTTAGAAGCAAATTCAATACTTCTTTGTATAGGAATTATAGTTCCTTGGTCAATTTCATGTCCTAAAATTCTAACCCTTGTTTGAAAAAGTTTCATCTTAGGACCAGATATTACTAATCCATTATGCTTAATTAATCCTTTGAATATTTTCAAATGTTTAATATGTTGATCTATAGTTTTTGAAAAAACTAAAACATCATCAATATAAACAATTATAAATTCCGTATAAGGATTAAAAATATCATTCATAATATTTTGAAATTCAAAAGGGGCATTTTTAAGACCAAAAGGAAGGACATTCCATTCATAATGTCCAAAAGGTACGGTAAAGGCTGTTTTATACTTATCATATTCATTAATCTGAATTTCCCAATAACCATATTTCATGTCAAATTTAGAGAAGATTAAATCATTGTTTAATCTATCTAAAAGATCTTTTTTTATTAGGAATATGATATCTAATCCATTTTAACACTTTATTAAGTGGTTTGTAATTAATAACGAGTCTAGGAACTCCACGTTCCTTTTATGCAGCATTATTGACATAAAAGGCTGGGCAACTCCAAGGAGATTTGGATTTTCTTATTAATTTTTTCTCCAAAAGAGATTCTATTTATTTTTTTAGCGTAAATCCAAATACTCATGATTCATTTGAGTAGGCCTAACTTTAGTGGGAATCTGACTTTTATTAAAGTCATCTAGATAAGGTAAAGAAATAACATGTTTTTTTCTATCCCAAAAAGCATTAGGTAAATCATTGCAGATTTCATCTCTAAAGTGTTGATCAATTAATTTAATTTGATTTTGAATTTCGGGTTTTTTTAAAAACAAATATGTTTTAAGCCGAGAAGTGATGTTTAATAGATCAACTTCTTCTTTAAGAAAACAAATATGTTTTTCTTTTTTAAAAAGAATATCTTTAACTTCATTATTCATCCTGGTATGGGGATCAGTAATAAATTCAAAAGTAATTCTTTTATTATTGATAATGAGGGTAATTCCCTTTTAATCAACATTGATTAGAGGCATAATTTTATGCAGAAAGGGAGTTCCTAATATAATTCTATGAGTTAAATTTTTTACAAGAATAAAGTGAGTGGGTAAACAAATATCTTTGTTACAAGCATAAGCATTAGACAGTTTATAATTAACTGTGAGTTTATCTCCTCCAGCTTGTGTAAGAGATTGAGTAGTTTTATCAAAATATTTAGTGGGAATAATTCCTTCTTGAAGGCAGTTTAAATCAACTCCACTATCAATAAGGGCAACTTCATTTTCTAATATGAAATTTCTATTAATAACTAACGTTATTCTAACAAACCATTTTTCAGAAGTTATTATATCAATGAGAGAAAGGAATCTATCATTAGGTGAAGGATTACTAGTGGAAGCTATTTCTTCAATTTTTGAATTATTGGACTCCCTGAGGGCCTTCCTTCTTCTTTGTTCCCTCCTTCACTGAGATCGCGAAATCAGGTTCTTCCCTTTGTAATTCTCAGAGACATGTGCAGTCTTAGAGGATTGAAACTCCTTGCGATAGGTGATCGACGAATCACGGTTGACGTCGAAGTTCTTCCATTTCTGCTGTCCCTTCTGTCTGTCCTCATTAGGTCTGACCCATTTTCCATTAGAAATTTCAGCAAATGGCTTAAAGGTAGCAGGCCTTGCTCCTGGTGCTCTAGCATTAGGCGCAAATTTTCTTGGATCGACGCTTCGATGGCCATAGTTGGCCTTCTCCCACTTCTGTTTCGACTTTCGCACCCCTTCGAGTTTCTGGGCAGCCTTCTGGTCGAATATTGCGTTGCATCTGGGGCACAGCATGATGCCAGATCCTGTCTTGGATATGCCATTTTGTTGCGCTCTTCCTGGAAACTTACCTTGTCGTCTTCCATAGTCTCATGTTGTGTTATTTCAACCATATTTACGTCCATGTCAGCGTCATCACTCAGGTTCATACTATAGAGGTCCAAATCAAGGCCTTCAGTATCCCTATCCATTATAGTAAAACTATCTGCAACTTCTTTAGTTACCAGCATCAGGTTGGAACCTTCAGTGTCTCCATCACTCGAGTCATCAACAACTTTGTTGAGGCCTTCAGCAACCTCCTTCATGAGTTTTTCTGCGGTATTATTTCCAAGGCCTATAGTGATCTTGGCTAGCACATTATCATTGGCGAAATCTTCAGTAATTTCCACCATATTAATTGAATAGTCAAAGCCATTAGCAACTTCGACCATATGCGCTTCTGCGGGCTCAGCATAGTGGGCATCCACTGCTTACAGTGGATCAAAGTCAATTTTCATCTGACTATGGCTCTTCTCTCCAAACTTCAATCTTCCCTCTTGGATAGCATTCTGAACCAAATCCCTGAAAAGAAAACATTGAGAAGTTTTATGACCCAAAAAATTATGGTACTTACAAAATCCTCTCTTTTTTCTTTGTTCTAAAGGTGGCATTTTAGCACCAGCAGGTACTATCATTTGTCCATCTTTAACTAACAAATCAAAAATTTCGTCACATTTAGTGATATCGAAAGTATATGTTTTCTTTGGAAACTTGTCATTCTTTTCAGATTCGACAAAACAATTTCCATTTGGGGGAGCTAACATTTTACAAGCATATGGAGGACCCTGCTTTAATTTAGAAACATCTGTTTTGTTCTCGTCAAAATACAATGGTTCTTCATGTAAACCTTCGATATTCTCATTATATTTGACATAAGCTACCTTCTTACTCTTATTAAATTTAGCCTTTTTGTCTTTCAGACGCTCTAACTGTCGAACCCTGTCAGCTAGTTGGGCCATATCTCTTAGATATTGAGTATCTAATTTCTTCCTAATAGAGTAATTAAGGCCACCAGCGGCCATTTCGACTAACTCATGTCCAGGCACTTGAGTAAAACACCTAGCCTTGAGTAGTCGGAACCTATTTAGGTAATCTTCTATTGGCTCAGAAAACTTCCGTTTTATGGCAAAGACCCACTCGAAGGCTTTTCCACATTACCTCAAGAAATCAACATTTCAACCAAACTCTCTATTTTAATGTGGGCGTCGAATTTGTGAGCTAACAGTAGTGCAACTGGAAATGAAGTTGAAAATTGGACCAAAATCGTTAAAAAAAAACTAGGAAAGTCGGTGATTTATCGAGTTGCACATGTTGAACCATGTTTCTTAAAATTATTTTTGGTCCCGTATCTTAACCTCAGAGTTCATTTTGGTCCCTTAACTTAAAAATAATTCATATCGGTCCCTTAACTCTTCAAAATATTCCATATTAGTAATTTTTGTCCTATTAGCGACAAAAAAAATTCAAAAATCAGTTGCTAAATTCATCGTCAATTAGACAAAAAGGACTAATATGAAACATTTTGAAGAGTTAAAGGATCAATATGGACCTTTTTAAAGTTAACGGAACAAAATGAACACTAAGGTTAAGATATAGGACTAAAAGGAATATTAAACCTTTTATTAAAATACCAAAACGACATGGTTAAGGTTGGGTCAGATACAAAAGAAAATGTTGCGACCAGAATTGAATCTTGTTGGAAGCACAAAATATGAGAGAAAGATATATTAATTAAGATTTATTTGGCATGACATATTTTTGAGTATGTAACTTATGAAGTAATATGACAATAAAAGACTTGTTTGATAACAGTCTTTTCATTACGAATTTATAGTTTATTTTACTACTTTATAACTTATTATTTAAATAAAATTTTAACTTATAGCCTATAACTTAATTATTATTTTTCTTCCACTTTTATCCTTATTATTTAGATGCTATTTTAAATAAAGTTTTAACGTATAGCCTGTAACTTATCATTTTTTTCTTCCACTTTTATCCTTATTATTTTTACTAAAACTCATTTTTACCTTTTATAATTTATTTTATTTAAAAATAAAACAATTATGTATTAAATGCAAATAATAACAAACAATTATGTATTAAATGCAAATAATAACAAACAATTATGCCATTTTACTTTTATCAAATAATTGAACTTCTAATTTACAAAACACTTCAATTACTTATCAACTATCACTCATCAACCATCATTTATAAGTTATAAGTTATAAGTCATTAGTCATAGCCATATGTTATAAGTTATCAATTAGCTTATCGGTCAACCGCTATTTTTACCAAGCAAAACCTAAATGTGAGAAATAAAATGAGAATAGGAAAGATGGTTCCAGCTATAATATCATTAGGGCATTGTTTATTGCACCCTTAATGGTGCTCATGCACCCTAGCAAATATACAAAAATACCCTTAAAATACGAAGATGCAATTATGCACACACCAAAAGTCCACACCACATTCATTCGTAGTGAGTAACACCCTTATTTTTCTACAAATTAGTATTGGGATGTATCTCAA